TTCAGCTAGGATATGCTCCTCGAAGATGGGTGTCATATGGGTTAGTAACATCCTTTCGAGAAGTTTGTATGTTGTGCTGAGGAGGGAGATCGGCCTGAAGTTCCACCGTCCTACTGAAGATGTCCTAAGGATGTCCCATAAAGACCTTGTCACCCAGTCGCCCAGTTGGAAATGTCATCGTGCTGCGTGGGAATGGGACATCATGAAGTATGAGTCTCCCAACAATAAAAAAGCAAGTTGCAGATCAAAGATATGAATTTACTGTTGTTTGGAATAATGTTATGCATGGTAACATTAAATATTCCAGCAACCAAAAAAAAACGTTAATGAATTCCTGGAAAGTGTCAATCGTTTTATTGGCGATTTAGGCACCATCTAGCCTCCATTGTCGAAACTACGTGTGCTCACGTAACTGCCATATTCCTTGTCCGCTGTCCCTTCCTTGCGTTATGTCAACATATGCATTGAATTTAACAGCAGCGTTATATAAATTTATTATAAATGAACGTTCTAATAGCAATCCTCCAACGCTTGAATTGACGTTGCTTTGAGAGCTTCCTTGAAATGTCGCTTTTGCGGCGTTTTAAAGTCGTACCAACATTCGTTTTATGCAGTGGCGGTACGTCAGGGGAGGCAAAGGAGACCCGGCCCCCTCAAAAATTCTCTGGAGACCCTTCCCCATACAATTGAAAATATCCATTAGGATAGCAAATAACTGAAAGAAGTCTCTGATAATCGTTGGATTCATTCGCAATTGACACAAAACAAGCGAAGATCAGACTCTTAACTGTGTACTCCTGCCAAGAATGACGTATGTGAGGCCAGAGCCTGGTGGCCTCTTCTGGCTCATAGACAATGCATAGGGGTATCCCGTAGCACTAGCAATACGACAGAATGCGAGAGCAGGGAGGCCGGCCTCACCGTCTGCATTGCGCATGAGCGTGCTAGCAAGAGCTAGCATGTCTTTAGGCTCCTTAGCCTGGAATAGAGCTTTTCAGTCATCAAAATTCGCATTGCCAATTTATATCTATGCAATTGCCATGGATAAAAAGACACAATATATGTTATACATACATAATTATGATATTCGCTAGGTGTGCTAGAGACAATTTTGTTTAGAAGTTGTGTAACTCGCGAGGGGAGAAAGTCGTTAGACCACTACGCTATATCCTCGGGTCGGAAGCGCCTCTTCTCTCATTCTCTCACTCGAGTGTTCGAAGGAAGTTTCAATTTCCACTCTCCTTTTGCGCGATTTCGTTATAATATAAACTGTAAACATGAAACGGTTCCTCGCTCAGCGTCTGACCTAAGCACACCTTTCGTGCTTCATGCTTCCATGACTATAATGACTTCTTGTTCATTATAAAAATCATTGGCTGGTCTCTCCAGATTTTTCGTCCACGCGTCGCCATTGGTTTCGCGTCATGGTTGGACACTGAAACCCTCAGATAACACATTCCGAACATTGGACGAACACTTATTTGCTGAAGACTTTCATCAACGCTGGACTTTAATGTTCGACGTTGGTGACACTCCATCGAGACTCTGCGAACCAATGCTGCTCTCCCAGATAGCGAGAAACATTGACCCTACATTTTCTGAGTATTGCCAAGATTGACTGAATACAGAAGTGGGTTGGTGACGTTGGTCCAACGTTGGTGGAAAGTGGGCGTGACATCTCAGCAAACAAACGAGCATTCAATCAGCGTTGTATGAATGTTAATTTTGAACCTTCCCACCGTTGTGGTGTCGTTGCATCCAACATTAAGTCAATATTTCAATGTCGCTTATCGCAACTTTGATATTCAACACTGACTGAACGTTGGGCCAACATTGTGATGTCGCATATTGGAACGCTCACCCCCACCCCAGTAAANGTGCGCTCAAGGATTCCATTGTCCACTGCAGGAGAAACGGAAGTAAGAAATTAAACATAAAATCTATATTTCCACCACAGTTGCAATTATCCCTTCACTTTCTTCTTGGTTAGTGCATGACTGCTCTCTGAACAAGCGCCTTGCTTGGTATTTTGCTCGGTAAAAGGATGAGAAGAAAATTCAAAATTAGTTATTTGCATATCATTAGCATATACTATATTAGTACCTGGTTTACTAAGCCAGTCTTAGAATTATTTGGTACTCAGAAGGCATAAAACTTGTAATTCAGTGGGGGGGGGAATAGATGCGGGCCCGCTGGGAACCTAAAAGGTTCCTAAAGAGTTCCAAAAAGAAAAGGTTGCTCATCACTGCTCTAGGTGAACGTTCCCTCAATGCTACCATGTTTGCTGGGATGTAAGGGAGCATATGTGCTCACAATACTTGGCCAATGTTGGTAGATTGTCAACGAAGAAAGGATGTGCAAGATTGGATGGGGGTGATCTGCCAATGATGGTAATATTAATAAATTCGTAGGAAGTAGGTACGTATGGTCAGCCAAGGTTGAGCCAACGTCGGCAAGTGACGAAATGTAGTTTCGCAATGTGGAGCAGTGGTGACCTGTCCATATTAGGCTAATATGGTCAAAAATGTTCACCAGAAGTGAGGCTTTTAATGTTGAGACTATCAGCAGAAGGGAAACGGATTTATTGGTAGGTTTCGCTAGCATAAAGAAAAACTAAATTTGACTTTGCGATCGCTTAAACTTCATGCAAAAGCAATTGTGCATCCAAAAATTAGCGTAATCTCTTACAATTTTAAATGTTTCAGAAAGTTAAGGTATTGAGTCCTACCACGCGACGTCGCGTGTGACGTAGCTCATGAAGCGCTGATTGCACATGAAGCATACGTAGTATGTGAAAGATGACAAGGAAATCCTCAGGGCATGGACGACCTGTGACTATAAATCCTAGATGCATGGCACAGAACAGAGATGTCGTCTTGGTGCCTCGATTGTCAGTCTCGAATCGATTAAATCACTGTTTTCCTGATTAGTTTCATACAGAAGACACGTATCGCTTTTCAGTACCGTAAAACTAGAAGACAGAGAGAAAGTGAACTGTTTTGGGTACCCAGTCAAAATCCATTCAGTAATCGTCTCTGCACTGTTGCAGATCTGGCATGCCTGAATGCAACTATTCCGATGGATCTAGTCCAAGCCCACGGATCCCTGAGGATTTTATTGAAAAAATTATGGTTATACAGGGTGGTCCAAAAAAAAGTTAACCGAAAATGAAAATGTGTTTTACCTATAGCCCTGCAATATATACACTAGATAGCGCAATAACAAAAGTTGCAAACAGCTTTAAAACAATCATTAAAGAATGAAGAGTACAAATTAATGCTCATCGGCCACCATGCGCTTGACGCACAATGTGTTCAACATGTTCACCACCAAGCTCTACGCATAACTCCATGCGAAGGATTGAATTATTGACCATTGTCTGTTAGGTTTCTTCTGTAATCTCACAAAGAACGCGGAAAATGTTGATGCGTAGTTCATCAAGAGTGTGCGGTACAGGTCTAAAACACCTCTCTTTCAGTAGTTGCCACAAGTACATATCAGGCAGTGTCAGATGTGGACTGCGTGCAGGGTATGGAAACTCTTCGCGCTGTAAAATCAATCGACCAAGAAACATCTGCTCCAATAACAGTAAATTTCCATGGCCCGAGTGAGTTATAGCTCCATATTGCTGGAAAATCTGGCTACCAAAAGCAATCAATTCTTTCTTCTTTCCAAATCACACTGGAAGCGTTCAAAATTTGTTCTTATTTAAAAAAAAAAGTATTATACTTTCGGTTACCTTTTTTGAACCACCCTGTATATATCACGATTCATAAGAACATGTTCCATTCTTAATCGATTTGATCGATATGTAAACTGGAGAGAACTGTGATGATGGAACGTTTCTACTACATCGTCACATGTGGGGTCTGTAGTTCCGTTTTCCTGAATTGCTGGGGACCCGATCCACCCATAACGATATAATGTCAATTTAACGTCAAGGAGTTTTGCTCCTCAATGGAGGATGACCTCTCCGAGAACGCTATACATTATAAAAGGCACAACGATAGACTGAAGTAGACGTCCGATGCAGGAAAATGTGGGCATAACGTCGTGCTCATTTAATTTTGGTTCAACACTGACCCGTTGGCATATTTACGATGGACCAATATAGGCCCAACGCAATTTTGCTACCTGGAATCGTTCTTTTCAGCCAGTTTCTGAAGAAGTGTAGGAATCCCACCAAGTCCATGAGAAATTATGTTATGAAATTATATGAGCGACATCCATAATTTTGACACTATGGCACTGTCTAATGGGAGAATTTGTGTAAGTTGAATCGATTCAAAGGAGAAGTAAGGGGAATCACCCGACCTTCCGTTTGAGCTTCGGCTTGGATTGGATAATACCGGAATACTTTGTGCCAGATTAAAAGGCTCATCATTAGAGAATGGATCAGGTAAGATTTTGGGAGTTTGAGAGCAACTGGTCCCCATTGCTGTCTTCCCTGTTTTCCATAAAGGCTTGCTTTGCTTTTTGGTTCTGATTTGACCTCACTGAGTGATGTCAGAGAATTTTCTTCGGAACACATCTGTTAGCAAATCCTTTTAGCTTGCAAGTAAGGCAATCAGGCGTATGGTCAGTCAGGCCCCGTGGATGGAAGCTCACAATAAGGCGCCACTGACAGCACCATACTGTCCTCCACTATATTTCGGTATGTAACGAAAGATGATGGATGCTTAGAAATGAAAACAACGCTCATCAACGTTCTACATTTTTTTTTAATCGAACAGGGGATATCCTACTTGGAATCTGATCATAAGAATCAAGAAATCATAATACCATGAGCGACCGACATTGAATCTTCTCCGTCTGTGGTAATAACAAGATGGTCTTCGTAATGACTAGATACCAGCATTTATTCTCTTCTAAAAAAAAATACGGGTGACAAAAGTAAAACGCAACAGGGGCATATTTTAAAAAATCACAGCGGAGGTCCATGCCCCCCCCCCCCTCCTCACCCCCACGATACCAATAGAAATCTGCAAATTGAGCACTCTCGGCAAATATTCTTTCTCTCCTAGGTTCATTGAGATCTACCATGGAGGACACGAGTGTACCCGATCTCGATTGTACTGAACTGGAAATACGGGGAATTCTTTCTTTACGATCCTCTCAACCTTCGTCCTCGGTATGCTGCAAGGGTTCCCGTTCCTTGGCCAAATCTTCCATTTCCACTTCCAGGATGGCACTTCTCTCTTTTCCTTCTTCTTCCAATCGACCATACGCTCCTATTCCCTTGGAAACTTTGTTCCGATGCAGGGGATGATGCTGAAAAGGGAAAGAACTCATGTTCTTCAAGGTCAACTCGTGGTCGCGAGGATTCGAACGACTTTCCTACGAAACACGTGAGAACTATTTCACGTCAAGCCATCAAAGTCGACGCTCCAATTAGAACACAAAACGATATTCAAGTTTAGCTAATTTTCCTATTCATTTTCAACAATTCAGATTCTGACATACTTCGACGTCGAGGGACTCACCGAGAAGATGGACTTCATTCGGAAGACGACAAGAGTCACCATCGCCAAAAGCGCGAAGAGGAGAAGGAATTTAAAGTTCCCCAGAACTTTCAGGCTTTCATGCAAGGAGGACATTGACTCCTTCTGCTCTTCTGCACCTGGTCACATGATGACGAAATCGGTCAGTCCTGACATTGAATCAAATAAGTTTTCGCCAGGGCTTCACAATATAGTCATGTTCAAGTCGCGTTGGGGAAGCGACTGTCCGAAGCTAAAGAGAGAGTTGTTCAACCATTGATTCAAGGATTCATAGGTTAATCACTTACTAAACTCCCAAGATTTTAGTTTCAATTGAGGTCAGATGGAAGGATGTTTCATTATTTTGAGATATTTAAGCCTCCCTGCAAGGGAACTTGCAAGTCGATTTTTCCTCCATCCTCTGGGTCAGATTTTTCCGAGTTTTTCTGGGCTGGATTACCTCTTTAGACATTAGTAATAAGTAGGGCTGTCAAATCGATTAAATTAATCAACCGATTAAATTATTAATCGCGATTTAAAAAATTATTCGAAATCAATCGAATTTTAATCGACTCCCTAATCTCCTCCTGAATGCCTCTTTTTCCCCTTATAATTTTACTGTGTCGTTCATAGTTTTGCAAAACAACTGAAAACGAATGCTTTATCAAGGGAATGAAGTTCAATGATGGCTTATAGAGGGTAGTCGTTTTCCCATTGCTCACTTTTCCTCAAAAACGACATACTATTTTTTTTTTTTAAAGGGAACACACAAACGTGTTCGACATCGCTTTCAGACTATTCCAAAAAGAAGCTTCTTGACCCCTTCGAATTCCACAAGCGTACTGGTACGCATCCCGTATCCTGCCTAGCTTACAGCCTTAAAAGACATAGCCTTGCAGGCCGCGCGCGTCAGGCTAAGGTAACAACGGCCTAGAGCAAAGCTACGGAGAAGTCAATGGATACCAATGGGGAAAAGAAAGTCGTAATGAAGAAGCTACAAGGGAAAGCACAGAAGGAAGAGGGGAGTTGGGCAGGGGGCATGGGACAGGAGAGGCAAGAAAGAGGATAATGTAAAGATTTGGGAGTGAGGGGCGTACGTAAGTCACCGGCGAACGTCTGTGGGAGCCCCCGGAAAGTAACCGAGAGAGGGGGAAAGCGGGGGGCAGGCGAGAGAAGTGGAAACAAGTGTGAAACCCTCTCCTATATCCCTTCCATCCTGTGTTGCCCGTAAATCGTTAATGAATCTATACATCTCTGCGTAATGAAGTGTCACTGTTTACGTTCAATCATTTAAGTTACATTTTTGCATCGTTCCGTTATGGGTTGGCTAAATAGCAAAGGGCTTAAGTGTGCTTATTTGCTTATGTTTCATGATTTATTTGGCTAAGTTGTAACTATTTTCTTTCCAACTGGAATGTCACTTGTAGGATGAACTTGTGGGATGTAGTGTATGTATGGATAGTAACTGCTATGTTAGCGACTGCATCGCCTTGAGTCACTTCCTGAGGCTCGCCTAGGGCATGACACAAGCAGAATCATTCCCAACGCCTAGGACATGCTTCAAGGGGGAACTATGGGATCGATTAATCGATTTAAAAATTTAATCGATTGACGGCCCTAGTATTAAGAGATTCCAGTGGCTTTCCCCAAGTTGTAAGTGAAAAATGATCTGGTGCCATGTAAAAAAGGACTAGGACTAGGAAAAGGAAATAATGATAATAAGTAAAGATAATAAGTGGGACCAACCGATGCAAACCAGGGACAGTACTGCATCTTTATAAGACCTTCGTCCGGCCAGTACTCACGTACGGCCATGCAGCCTCAGCCAACTGTTCTGATTCTGCTTTTTTAAGATTACAGACAGTCGAAACAGCAGCCATTAGGTACGCATTAAGGCTCCCAGGCTATGTCTCTAAAAAGTACCTTTACCATCAGTCTAAAATAGAGCCACTTCCGCAGTACGCCTCCAACCTTGCTCTCAAGTATTTCGAAGACCCAAAGCGCCCGGATGACATCCGCCGCATCAGGGCAACAACCAACAGGAGAGTTAAATTTAAGAAGCACAAAAGAGTAAGAACTTATCCTGTGTTCAACTTAAACCGTAGAACTGGTCAGGGCCCCCCCTCCCCGCGCCTCACCCAGCAGCACTCGTAGCCTACATCCCTAGATATACATATAGCCTAAGAAATCCTATTTTCACCCCTCCAGTTATGGGAGAACCAATCTGTCCTGAGCACACCAGTGGAGCAGGGAGCAAAGCCAACACCTCAACCTTCCTGACGGAAACTAGCAGCAAGGCCCATGCCCCAAGCTAAGTTACCTCCCAACTCCTACATCCTAAAATGAATTTTCTGCTAACATACATGAATGCCTGAACGAGGCACTGCTTGATTGAATGGGAGAGTGTTTGATTGAATGAGTGAATGAATGATAGGTTGCATCCACATCCACTTACTGCTTAATTACAACTATTTTGCTTATTTTCTTTTTGCTTTACCCATGAGGGCATATAACATCTTCTTAAAACTATTCACGGAAGTGGCAGCCGCTACGTCTCACCAAACGCGTTCTACTATGCATTCGCTATCCTACAAATAAAAAAAATATCATTCTGCTGCCTGAGTGTCACCTGAGACTTACCCAACTTGAATTGCTTCTCGACTCTCGGTGGGGGGGGGGGGGGGGGGGGGGGGGGGAG